ACCTTTTATCTAAACCTAATTGAAAAGAATGCAACAGCATATTTTACCATGTAAACCATCCAAATGCAAAATGCATTCATATGCAATAAATACATCTAAAAAAAAAAAAAAAAAACAAACACTCTTATTACATGAAATGGTCCACACACACAAAGGTAATGGCCAAGTGAACTGTTGACAAAAAGAGGCCCCACATGAGCAGAGGACCAGTCCATGAACAGCCTTGTGTTTGGGGAGATCCTTGCATGACCTGTTTGGTCATAAATCTTCACATTTAATTCAAACAGCATAGTCTGTTTATATCAGGGTCACTTTGTATAATACAGTATAATGAGATATTGCGATTATTTATATTGTAACTTTGTTTAGGTCATGAAAGGACAAAAACAGCAAACAGGAAACAGAATTTCACTCAAAAAATAATAGTCCAGACATATACTGAGCAACAGCACCTGTAAATATTTTAGTTCATTCCTTCATGTGTCAGACGCGTAGGGAATATTGCATAGTGCATATGAACTGGCAGTTGACACTCGAACAGGAACAATAGAATTTTCCCTACGACAACAGGGACTGTTTAACTACCATTCATACCATTCATTCATTTACTTATTGTCTGGTCATTTAAGCGGCATGTAAATGAACGGACAGCTGTAATGCATCAGTGAGCATCTGGATAGAGCAGCGAACATAGAGAACTTCAAAGCGCGCGTTGATGCACTGTACATACGCGTCTGACACATCTCTAGCCCTCTCTGTATTTCTTGTGCCAGTCCTGCAGCAGAGCTTTTACTCACTCCGAAAATGAAGCAACTCCTCGAAGCAGAGCTATCCGGGAGAACACTCCGAATCAGTACCAACAGAGGCTATCCGCGAGGGGAACTCCGCGTATTGAAAGTGTGTTTATTTATAGTTGCACTTTAGACACAGAAAAGTATGTTTGTCTATTTCCAGTGTGTGTGTGTGTGTGTGTGTGTGTGTGTGTGCAACACCTTATATTATCATACATATAATAACATATTAAATATATTAATTAAATATATATTAAATACATATTATTATTATTATTATTATTATATTATATGTGAACGGGATTAATTATATAGTATATACATAACATAACATTGAATATATAATTGTATATATTGTAAATTGCCTCCTGTATATTATATTAAAATTAAATAATATAATTCTAATTAAAATAATTATATTATATATTATATTATATTATATATGTGAACGGGAATAATTACATAACATTTAAAAACATAATAATATTTTAATTACATAATTGTATGTGCACAAGTAGCCTCTAATATATTTGATCATAAATGTCTCTAAGTTATATTCATGTATATTAATGTATATAATTTAATGTATTTAATAAGTTATGGGAATAATATCCTTTATATATACTGTATATCCTTTGAACATATATAAATTAGAGACATTAATAATAATATAATGTAACATAATATCATAGTGTGTACAGTAATGAGGAAAAAAATTAACTTAAATGATTTTAGCAAATGGCTGCAATATAACAAAGAGTGAAAAATTTAAGGGGGTCTGAATACTTTCCGTACCCACTGTATATATTCTCTTTTCCATATGTCTCTAATTTGGTCCTTCCATAATCAAAACTGAAACCTCGTGCTCTATTTTTACCAGATACTAACTCGGTGACCCACCAACCTGCGGGTCATATCGTAATCTGTTTCTTACAACTACCTTAAACACCTTATGCAACCACAATCCTCCCCTTTAACAAACAAAACAGTAACCCTCTGAACTGGCTGAGGATAATTACTTCTCCACTTGACTACACAGCATCCAATTCATCCCATTTGTCAATTCCAAAAATAAAATGAACTCTGGTGGCCCAAGGGCATGTGTTGAATTATGAAATGATCATTAATGATGATCAATACGAGAGTATTGATCTAAAAGAGTGACTAAAAGAGATATTTTCCTGAAAAAAATGTATGAAGTGATTAAATGTGAAAAAGGCAACCCAGCTCTCTTGAGAAAAGGCAGATGGTGCAGGAACCAGAGGGAGAAATTGCAGTTACCAAACTGAATAACTATTTGTTAATTTGACTATTAAAGCAATAGGACTGAATCACATGTCCTGTTGCTTTGCATAATCCTGAGTTGGTTGGTTTATATATGGTAAATTACCTGTTATCAGACAAATGTACAAAATAAAACTCAACTAAAGCCTCCAAGTCAAAGGTGTTTAAACAAATTATTAGATTCACTGATCAAAACTAGTTTAAACTATCACTTATGGATTCTGGTGTGATGGTGACAGTGACTTGATAGAATTAGAACTAGAATACAGTGTCCTTAATCGTCCCTGAGATCCATTAATATAATTAGCATCATCTATTTGGAATACAGAAAGACATGGAAACTTTGTATGTAAAGAACAGGGGCGCATCAATGCACGGGCTACAAGGGGCTGAAGTCCAGGGGCCTACACTGGAAAGGGGGCATGCAGGGAAATTATATTTTTTTAATAATTATTTATATGGGAGTTTGCAGCAGTGACAACAGCGTTCTGTACACAAACTCACACACTCATTTTTAGCGATGCCCTGGTTAGCCTATATAGTGAATGGCTCTGTTTAGGTTCCCCCCACACAGTTTGTATAGTTGGTATGTTCCACGTGTTCCATCGATATACTGTAAGCGGAATGTACAATGCATTCGCTAGTAAATAACCGCAGCACGAGAGTATCTTTATGTCGACATGCAGATTAACAGAAACACAACACTGGTGTGTGAAAGGAACTGAACCGGACAACGTTCTGTAACGTCATACAGTGAGAGTTCAGTAACTTGCTTGGTTGTAATCTGTATGTCATCTGTGTCCCATAAATAGTGTCAATTTTAAATCCGGGTCTCAAAGTCTCCATTTTAAATCCGGGGAAAAATAAGAATTGTCCTATTGCTTAAATGTGAGCATTAAACTTTATACGGCTGTGATTTAACTAAATAAACTTGAGCACGTCATGTTTCAAAATAAAAACGCAGTTAGCAATCACCAAATAACCCACATTTATGTAAAAATGCTGTGTTTTGCTCTACTGATGATAAATAATTAATATTTTGTGTGATTTATGGTGTTTAAATCATACCTGTAAACTCACATTTCAGCCAGGAATGTTTTAATGGCATTTTCCTTTCATATTACCTTATAATGCCCGTAATAACATAGTGTTTACTTTATGTAAGGGCTATATAATTCTGCTGTTCCACAAGCGCCACCTTGTGGCAAAGAGTAAATTTGCATATTCGCTTATATTCACATTTTACGCAGAGCAGTGTTGTAAATGTTAACCGGCATATTAACAAGACAAAATACGAAATTTGACAAATAATTGTTTGGAAGCTTAAAAAAAAGAGGTTTTCTGGGGTTGGGGGGCCTACAGCCCAGGGTCCTTTGGTTATCTTAAGGCGCCCTTGGTAAAGAATATTAACTTTAAAATAGAAATGATTCCAGAACTACACATTTACCACTTGTTACTTTCCCTGGTTTGGAGACATTCTAGAATAAACAAATGTATCACAGACCGGTGGCCCTTTCATAAGACATTCTGGGCCAATTACAGCTCTTATGTAACGTATCAATTCTGCCTCATCTCACAAATAAGCCTAAAAAATAGAAGTCATTTTTAAATTGGCTGTGGAAATGTAAAATGTAAATATGTTTAATCCTTACAAATAACTAGCTACAAAAGAGACGAGACTTGCAAGATTAGACTTCATGTTGAGAAACAACATCTCAGTGGATGATTTTTTCTGCCATCACCATTTTAATTGATATGCTATTTTCTTAGTTGCTATTTCATTACTGAATAATTTTTCATGCATTAATTATGCAGACATTTGATTTCACAATAATGTGAACTTAAATGCTCTGCCTTTTCTTCCAGTGTGTACAATGCTGCACACTTTCTGAACACCTTGTTGTTGGGGTTTATTTTATAATAATAATAATAATCATCATCACCATCTTACTGTAAATTTGTAAACATGCAATAAGCAGACGTTACAAAATAACACAATTTATTCTGTTTGAGAATGTAGATTTTTTTTAAATGACCACTTATTTGGAAGGAAATTGTAACCTTTATTCTGTATTTAGAAAGATTTAGAAATAAAAAACATTTGTTATATTGCATTTGAAACCTCTTAGAGACAAATAAAATGTACATCTCAAGATTTATTGTAAGAGTATTAAAATCAAGAGTAAGCTGAGTCAAAGATAAATATATCAGTTCTATTTTAAAAGTTGTAATAACTACTATTCTGTTGTATTTTATTCTATTCTATTCTGTACTTATCTACTTATGTAATTCTGTTTCTGTTTCTGTGGAAACTGTTACACATACACACACACACACACACACATATGGACATCAATCCCAGATTACTGAGCAGCCTACAATAAATAAATCAATAAATAAAGAATACATAAAAATATAAACCATGAATGATAACTGTGTGCAATTTATAACAAAATGTAAATAGGGCTAGCCTACAAATTGACGTCAAACAACAACAATGGTCCATTTTTATTTTTATTTTTTTGATAATGACTTGTGTTTATAATTAATTACCTGTGTTTTTGTATTTCTCAGTTTTTTTTTTTTTTTTTGTTTTTTTTATTATTAGATTGAGACATAAAATGTAACATTTTTCACTTTTTTTTTCCAGCGCCTGCTTTGTGACTTGTCTGCGTGAAAAACCGATGTTTTATTTTGAAATGTTGAACGTGAAAGTAACCTGTGGAGGGCAGCGTCTTGCGCTCGGCGTGAGGAGAACCAGGAGGCGGTTTGGCAACAGCTGATCTGTGACTGGAGAGTGCATGGTAGGAAGTGGCGTAGATTCCGGAAGTGATCCGGAAATGGAGGATGAAGTGTTTGACGCGGACGAAGGCGGGAATGGAAATAATGAATGGAGTATAGTAGAAAATCGAAAAAGAAAGAAAAGCTGGAGTAACGCATCTGCAACTGACAGTGAAAATGAAACGCATCTGACAAGAAGAAGGAAGGAAGAGTATAAGGTAGTGATGAAACTTGAAACCGGATCTTTCAGTATCATTAATCCGCTGAAATTATCTAAAACAATTAAGGAAGTGATAGGACTGATTGATAGTGTTAAGAAGTTGAGGGATGGTAGATTGATAATATATTGTAAGGATAGTAGGCAACAAAAGAAGGCTCTAGGAGTTAAGTCGATCATGGGACAAAGTGTGATTTGTTCAGTACAAGAAGAAAAGAAATGGGTGAAAGGAGTAATAACAGGGATCCCCACAGATGTAACAGTTGAAAAGATTAAGAGAGGTCTTACGGGAGCAGCAGTGATTGAGGTGAAAAGACTAAAATGTAATAGGAATAATGAAAGGGGAGACAGTCTCTCTGTGATGATTCATTTTGATGAGGATAAGCTGCCTAGTAAAGTCTTTTTGGGATTTATGAGCTTCTCGGTCAGGCCCTATGTACCCCCTCCTCTAAGATGTTACAAATGCCAAAAGTTTGGGCATGTAGCGGCTGTATGCAGAGGCAAACAGAGGTGCGCAAGATGCGGCGGAGATCATGAGTATGGCAAATGTGGGCAAGGAGTTAATCCCAAGTGTTGTAATTGTGGAGAGGATCACAGTGCGGGATATGGAGGATGCAAGGTGAGGAAACATGCGGCTCAAGTTCAGAATGTTAGAATACAGGAAGGATTGTCATACTCTGAGGCTCTAAAACAGGTAGGAAAGAATTTGGAATCAGGAGACAAAAGTAAAGAAATCCTTCAACAAAAGACTGATATGGCAAAGGAAAAAACTCAAGAGAAAGTTGGGATTAAGAACAATGTTGCATTTGTTAATAAAACACCAGAAGAAGAAGAAGAAGAAGAAAGTAACCTGTGGTTTCCGGCTTCACCAGACAGCGGAGCTACATTGTAAACACAACGCCTCCATTTTCAAACCCGTCCGGAGAAGCATCGCACATCACCGCTGAACATGGGGGCCGTACTCGGGCTTTGTTCCATGGCCAGTTGGGTAAGTTTACATATTAATATACTGATGATATATAAATATAATCGTATAGATACGCGAAGGTAAATAACTATTTGGTTTTCAGCGAGTTTATCATGTGTAGTTGATGACATCCGCATCGGGAAAGAAGCGAAAGAGAAAATGGTGTCTGGGCCCTTCGCGATGCTCTACTTTCATAAAACCCACCGCATCTATTGAATAATTACCAAGAATGACACATAACGGCATATTAATTAATTTCACTATGTTTTGGTGTGATTCAAATCAGTTTTTTTTTGCTTTACTAACGTAAAATGTACAATGTCATGTTGGGTGGTTCCCCTGTTGTGATGAAGCTCAAAATGTTTTTGTATTAATACAGACAATTGTGTATTGTTATGTTTTGCGTAATTTGTATCACCAAGCGACATATATTACTACTTTTCTCTTAATTGCAGCCAAATTATCATAGATAAACAATATTTTGTCGGCGATTGTGATCATGAAAGCAGCTCATTGTCTATGGTTTTTGGGGTGTTTTAAATGGGACACATACAGATGATATTCCACCATAACATGAGGTTTTCAAAGAAGGTCACATGTTTGTTTGGCTGTTGCGACATCAAAACACCGATTAGATGTCAGCTCATGAAAAACACAAAGGAGAGGTGAGGAAACATGGGGCCTGAGGTTATGTAACACTATTTACTGTTCAGTAACACTTAAAATTAACTTTTATTCATGAACAAGTATTATGCAATGATGAGACATAAAATAAATTAATAAATCTGATCTTTTGAACTTTATATTCCTAAAAGAATCCTGAAAATGTTACAATTCCAAAAATTATTAAGCAGCACAACTATTTTTACATTGATGAAACGTTTCTTGAGCGCCAAATTTGCATATTAAAATTATTTCTGAGAATCATGTGACATTGAAGACTGGAGTAATGGCTGCTGAAAATTTAGCTTTGCCATCACAGGAATAAATTACATTTTAAAATATATTAAAATAGAAAAAGTTATTTCAAATTGTAATAATATTTCACAATATTACTGTATTTTTGACCAAATAAATGCAGCCTCGTTGAGCATAGAAGACTTCTTAAAAAATAAATAAATGTATAAATAAATAAATCTTTGTTCTCAAGGACTCCAAAATGTAGCAGTGTGAACTTTTTTTATAAGATGTTTCTCCGGATGTTTATTTTAGGAAGTATTTAAAGCTGCAGTCCGTAAGTTTGGCCTCTTTGTCGCCATCTCTGTTTGAAAACCTGGAATTGCAGCTGTGTGCGGAATTATCTAGCTTGCTGGGGTTGTGAGTCGGCACGGCTCCAGCGCGGATGAATCTAATGTTCTGAAGAGTATGTGTGGCAGTCAGTCACGCACTGGTGTGGATATTGGCCCTGTCCCAAATGGAACACTTCATGTGCACTTGCGGTCTTACGGACTTACATTGGCCGCCGCGTGTCCGTTAAGTCCACGAGACCGTAGGGTGTCCCATTTGTCATTTTAGCGTTCAGAAGGGTGCTCGCGAGCACCCCCTTTGCGGCCGTTATGCGCCCTCGATCCACACTTCTGCCGAGCTCGCACTTGGGCGAGCTCCGCAGCAGACTTCTACCCGACAGTCAAAGCGGCATTAGGTCACGAAAGTGCGGACTCAGAGGAAGAACGCGAGGGTTTAGGGTGCCATTTGGGACAGGGCCATTTACAGTACTTCGCAATCACAGATTCTAGACTACATCTTGGAATATGACCCAAATAAGAATTTTCACCGTATATTGCCATCTGAACAAGTAAGTAACAAGTAAGAATATAATTTAATTTCATTCACGTGTTTCATAAACACATAATCCTTTATGGATAACAATCCGCCATCAAAATGATAGATTTAATTATTCTGGCTGCTGTGAGAAAAGGCTATAAACGATCCGCCACCTGCAGGATCCTCACATGCGATACCCTAGTAGCCGGGACAACTTCTTTATGTTTACAGACATGACGTAATGACGCAGTGCCATGCTCGAATTTCCCGCGAAAACCTACCCGTACCACTCAAATTAGAAAACATTATTATAAGCTGTGAATCTGAAGTAAGGCGATAGTTTTGAACACTGGCTGGTTATGTACTTGCTCAAATATTGATTTCGGATCATTTTTAACCAAAAAAAGTTACGGACTGCAGCTTTAATGTCCTCTTTAATCACATCTAAACGCTCTGTTTTTGTTATGTAAAGCCAGACAAATTTAGGCATAAGCTTTGCCTGGTGTTTTACCCCGAGTACGAATGAGGGATGAGGCTTCTTGAAGTCACCATGTTTATGCGTCAACCAGCCCTGCTCATTTTGCAGAATGACGCTTTTTATGTCTAGAGATAATTAATTTGGCATCTTACTGGATATTGAGATTTTTATTTGCATTGCATTTTAATAGCACGTTTAAAAAGCATTATTTACCCATCATTCATATGTTACATTGATATTGTAAGGCCTAAATTAATTTACAATATTTAGCTTATTTTTGTTATTAAAAATAGTGTAATTTATCAATTAACGGCCAAATAATAATGAAAAAATAATATTGATTTTATACTTATCAGTCACAATATCATGCACAATGCATGCCTAATTATGACTCATCCAATGCTTCCTATATATATTTGGGGTACTACCTGACAGATTTCACAGAAATATGTATACTGAGATAAAACGATTATGATAGCCCTAGGGTATGAAAAAAATAAATAAAATCTGGTGATCTGAAGCGGGAGTGTCTGGTTGAAGTTAGCAAAACATCTGAAATGGCTTACATCACCTTTAATGTGCGTTTTTTATATATATATATATATATATATATATATATATATACTTTCTCTGCAGATTCCTTGCCTGCTGTGCAGATGCTGCCCGAGTGGAAACAACTCCACAGTCACTCGGCTGATCTATGCCTTCTTTATGCTGCTGGGTGTGGGCATCGCCTGCATCATGCTCATGCCAGGCATGGAGGAGCATCTGAAGAAGGTGACCCAGCAGCGTTTCTTGGGAATTAAAGTTTTGTAATGGTTTTACAGGGTTGCAGCTGAAGCATTCTGATTGTGTGTCTGATTTTCTTTTACGTCACTGCAGATTCCAGGCTTTTGTGAAGGAGGAATGGGGTCGTCCATCCCGGGAGTCAAAGGTCATGTGAATTGCGATGTGCTTGTGGGCTATAAGGCCGTGTATCGTGTGTGCTTTGGGATGGCCATGTTCTTCCTGCTCTTCTCTCTCATCATGGTAAAGGTCAAGAGCAGCCAGGACCCAAGAGCTTCTGTGCATAACGGGTATGTAGGCGTTGGTGTGACCTAATGGTTAAAGTCTTGACCTCTAACTCAAGAGGCTGAAGATTTGAATCCTTATGAGCGAGACACAGGTTTAGCTGTATTAAAAACATGCAAATAATTTCAGAAATGCTTCACTAATCTTCAAAATATTCATATCTTCTACAGGTTTTGGTTCTTCAAGTTTGCGGCTGCCACTGCTATTACAGTTGGAGCTTTCTTCATTCCTGAAGGCCCTTTTACTACTGGTGAAGTTTTATTTTATTGCCTTAAATATGAAATATGCATGCAATTACATGATTTACAATGTACGGGCAAAAGGTGACTTTAAATGGCCATTTAACACTATCAATAGTGACCAAATTAAAAAGTAACTGCTAAATATGTGATGTAGTTTTACATTAAATGTACATTATACAATCTGCAGTGGGATTTATCATAAAAGATAGCAAAACCTGCACAGTGTTTAGCCAGCTTAAGCAATGAGAGAGTGAGATTAGGCAGACTTGAGTTGTTCCTAGTATTTATTTCTGAGGATCTAATGATGATCTTCTGCTGGGTCTCTTCCAGTCTGGTTTTACATAGGCATGGCTGGAGCGTTCTGTTTCATCCTCATCCAACTGGTGCTCTTGATCGACTTTGCTCACTCTTGGAACGAGTCCTGGGTGGAGAAAATGGATGAGGGAAACTCTCGTTGCTGGTATGCAGGTATGCATTAAGAGAACTTGATTTGTTCAGTCCCACACAAGTATCCCCACTGTAAAAACAGTAATATTTTGAAATATTACTAGTTTAAGTTTTTTATTATAATATATTCTAAAATGTAATTTATTCCTGTGATGGCAAAGCTGTATTTTCAGCATCATTACTCCAGTCTTCAGCGTCACATGATACTTCAGAAATCATTCTGATATGCTGATCTGGTGCTCAAGAAATATTTATTATTATTATCAATGTTGTAAACAGTATTGCTGCTTAATATTTTTGTGGATTTTTTAAATTTTTTATTTTTGATGAGTATAAAGTTCAAAAGAACAGAATTTATCTGTCACTTTTGATTTTGAATTTGTTGCATCCTTAATGAATAGAATTATGAGTTTCTTTCCAAAAAATCTTGCCGACCCCAACTTTTTGAATTGTTGTGTATATATTTTTATATAAATATGGTCATAAATATAACATATTTAAAGTCATAAATAGAATATATTATTTTTATATTTTAACATTATATTTATAAAGGTATTATCCCTGTTCTATGTTTAGATACTTCTTACAGTATATGCGGTCATAAAGAAGATTGATTGTATTGTTCTAACGTCATTTTTTCTACCATCCGTAGCTCTTCTGTCTGCCACAACCATCAACTACGCTCTGTCACTGATCTCTCTGGTCTTGTTCTATGTGTATTACACTCACTCCGATGGCTGCACTGAGAACAAAGTCTTCATCAGCATCAACATGCTGCTGTGCGTTGGTGCATCTGTCCTGTCTGTCTTACCTAAAATCCAGGTAATGAATACAAAATGTCTGTTTGTATGACTAGTATTGGAATTGTGATGATCTCCTATACTTAAAACTGCTCAAGGTTTGGATATGTGTCATATATTAAATTATGTCGTTTAATTTCTTTGTCCTTTTTTCCCTTTCCTCCTCCAGGAGTCCCAACCCAGGTCTGGTCTCTTGCAGTCCTCCATTGTTACTCTGTACACCATGTATCTGACCTGGTCTGCCATGACCAATGAGCCTGGTAAGGATTGAGAGAAATTTGTTTAAAGGAATATTCTGTTGTTCATAAATCAGTCTAGAATAATGATTTTCTTTTCCCCAAAGACCGCAGATGCAACCCTAGCTTGCTTGGCATTATTGGACTCAACAGCACCACCCCTGCTGGTCAGGACCGTGTTGTTCAGTGGTGGGATGCCCAGGGCATTGTGGGCTTGATTTTGTTCCTGATGTGTGTGCTGTACTCCAGGTAAGAAAGTTTGTAATTTGTTAAAAGATATGACCTATTTTTGCAGCTATTATTCAATACAGCAGTCAAATTTGTCTTTTTATTTTCCTCAGCATCCGCAACTCCAGCAATTCCCAAGTGAACAAACTGACCCTCACCAGCGACGAGTCTGCTCTGATCGAGGATGGTCCCGCTCCAGAGAACTTTGAAGTGGGTGATGGCACCAACCGTGCCATTGACAATGAGAAGGATGGAGTCACCTATAGCTACTCTTTCTTCCACTTCATGCTCTTCTTGGCTTCTCTGTACATCATGATGACACTGACAAACTGGTACAGGTATGTGCCCATGTGATGATGTTTTTATTAGTTTAAGTGCACAGTGTATTAGTAATCATGTTTTAGTTTGACTAGGCCAATTTTGGAAGCAGATAAAGGGCATATTTTCAAAAAGTAAAGTACATTTATCTATTTTTCCCACAGTATAATAAAACGTTTGATGTTTGATTTCATTTGCGAAATTCTGTATATAGAATTAAAATTAATTCAATTAAAATATTGACTATATTAACTAGCAGTTTCCAATATCTACTATATACTGTATGCCTTTTAAAAGTTTGGGGTCAAGTAAGATTTTTTTTGGAAGAAAATTATACTTATATTCAGCAAGGATGCATTAAATTGATTAAAAGTGACAGTTTAAACATTTAAAATGTTACAGAAAGTTCCTATTTAAAATAAATGCTGTTCTTTTGAACTGAAAGAATATTTATATTTTTAACAATTTTAAAAAAATGTTTTTTTTTTTTAAACTAAAATCTTGGAAGTAAGCAGTTCTATTAACAAAAACATTTGTATATGCAATAATGATTAGTTATTGCTCTGTCATTTTTGTGTCACAATTTATATTGAAATGTTTATGGTCGTCAAAGTTTACAGAATTATCCTTAAACTCTTAATTAATTTTTTTTCCTGTCAATTTTATAGCCCTGATGCCAATTATCAGACTATGACCAGCAAGTGGCCCTCTGTGTGGGTGAAAATCACCTCCAGTTGGATCTGCATTTCTCTGTACGTGTGGACCCTGGTGGCTCCGCTGGTCCTCACCAACCGTGATTTCGACTGAGAGGACGGATAGAAATAAAAGCTTGCAATTAGAATCCGCCATTACTTATGTGAATATCCACATGTATAGGTATAGTAGGGTCTAAATGTAAATACTTGTGAGTGTTTTGTTCGTTCAGCTGACCCTACATGTGTTGTTGTTTTTTTAACCTTGCATGCTTTTATGTAGGTGTTTATTAGTTCATATAAGAGCTGAAATAAATGAAGAACATGGCTTGGGTTTCCTGTGATGTGATGTTAATATTTCCTTCAAGAATGTGTTCTTCAAAATTAAGGATAATGTAACCTTGATTAATAATCTCTGTATGCTCTAAAAAAAATAAATACAATGCATCTTAAGTTATTTGTGGAGAGTAGTGAAAATGCAGGTCATGTTTTCCCATAAATCGTGACATTCATAGTTTCCTGTAGAACGCACATATACAGTGTTGAATTAGCATGTGAAAATTTACAGGTAACTTATAATTGTAGATTTTGTCATGCATGTCACTTCTTGATGATTTGCATCACGAACATGACCGTGACAGCGCTAACCATTTTGCAACTTGCATATGTTAGTTGTTTGAGCACTATTCATTTTATTCTTGTAGCCAATGTGTGTGCTGAACAATGTTTTGCACTGAATATATTATCCTTTACTGATAAAACCTGAATAGATGATTTGTGTTTTGCTTGACCCTTTATTGTATTAGGCAAGTTGGTGGTTTTCATGGTGGCAGTTCTCACATACAATTTTTTTTTCAATTAATGTCAGTGTTATTTTTTTGCCTTTTGACAAGTGCATTGTAATCAACCAACATGTCATTTTATTAAAGGTTTAAATCCCAGATTATGTTCTCATTGGGGTTTCAAAATATAACCGGGTATTGACAGGTTTCATGATTTAATTTGATTACGGTTCAAGTTTCCGATACCGATTTACCTAGAAATATATCCAGGTACATGAGATGAGATTTTTTTTTTTTATGGAAAATAATCTCACAAATAATGGTGTAACTTAAACTGTGAACCGTCCTGTTTGGTACATGGTCCTGTTCTAGCTAACGTGCTATTTATGTCTTTACTGGCGTAAATTTAACGTTCGTAATGTTCACAACACAAACTGGGTTTTTGAAGTCTTTCCACGGTTGAAACAATTACGTCAGATACTATATATATATATATTTCAGTTGTACGGTATTTAAAAGTGGAAGAAATTATCGGTTCACGTGAGCTCCCGCTTCTACCGAGACGGAAACAACGATCTTTCTCGCTACAAAACAGTATTTTATTTTTTTTTATTTTGTGATAAAACTTAGAATAATTTCTGATATTTTTTAAACTATCAAAGCTTATTGCAATTATTTTGGTTAAGTTTTACCGACGAATCAGGACAAATGAAAGATTTTTTTCTTCTTCATTAAAATCATTAAATAAACATTTATAATCTCACAAATAATGGTGTAACTTAAACTGTGAACCGTCCTGTTTGGTACATGGTCCTGTTCTAGCTAACGTGCTATTTATGTCTTTACTGGCGTAAATTTAACGTTCGTAACGTTCACAACACAAACTGGGTTATTGAAGTCTTTCCACGGTTGAAACAATTACGTCAGATACTATATATATATTTCAGTTGTACGGTATTTAAAAGTGGAAGAAATTATCGGTTCACGTGAGCTCCCGCTTCTACCGAGACGGAAACAACGATCTTTCTCGCTACAAAACAGTATTTTATTTTTTTTTATTTTGTGATAAAACTTAGAATAATTTCTGATATTTTTTAAACTATCAAAGCTTATTGCAATTATTTTGGTTAAGTTTTACCGACGAATCAGGACAAATGAAAGATTTTTTTCTTCTTCATTAAAATCATTAAATAAACATTTCAACCCAGCCCTATTTGGAAAAAAAACTAAAGAGTCAACGTTTAAATTCCTTTAATGCAACTGCAAAGCTTTGTATAATGATGAAAATCTCACGGTAACAAGAATCACTGTGTATTGTCCAACATTATGGAACTAACCATAAGCCAAAGTCTTCACGTCTATTTACAGTGACATTAGGACATCAGGCAGGCACTTCTATACCATATACATAAAGGATAACTGTAACGTTTTCTGAACTGTCCAACAATAAAACGGAAACACAAGCTTCACAAAACAGCTGCAATATAAATCAGCAACATAACTAGCTAGTGAACAGTAACTAGAATTATCTGTGAAAGGGAGGAATGTCAAACTGAGGGACAAATGGTACCAAAAAAAATTCTGGCTAATATCATTTTGATGAATATTTACAAAAAATGAAAAGGTCAAGTCCCTGTTTTCCAGGCTGATTCACTTTCAGATATCAAGCTGTGGCATGTCGTCACTAGTCAGGTCGGAGTTCAGTTCACACAGGTAGAACAGCGTGGTCTCGCTTGCCTCCGCCTCTGTGAGGGGCTCCAGACGGATCAGAGAGCTGTGAGGCATCTCGGTCTCCAGGGCCTTGTCCAACAGGTCTACGGGTTCTTCAGGGCTCTGGGGCAGGATAGGCTGGGGCAGGTTTTCAGGTGGAGGATCTGATGTGGCCAGAGGAGTGCATCCATCCAGGAAGGCCAGCAGAGGGCAGGTTGTGTACTGGATCAGCTGCTTATCTGAATGAAGGAACCGACACGCTAGCAAACGCAGCACAGCGAGGGCATGACAGTGGATATTATTTTACAGAGGAACATGCAACAATTACCTGTGTTGCCAGGCTCAGACTTTCCTTTGCTGGCTTTGTTGATGTTACCCTTTGTTTCCGAGACAGCTTCCTGCCAACAGCAAAAGAAAAAACAAGAGCTTTATCAAAAATATGACAATGCAGAATAAAATGAAACATATCATCGTGGTAAATTATAGCAGCTGAGCAATGCATCAATGGAAATTATTTTAGAGATTTTCAACAAAATAAGGAAGTAAAAAGAACAGATGTGTGGATACCAGGGCTTATGAAATCTCCAAACATACCTCTATGATATCTGGGTCAATGCTGAACTGTTTTCCATACAGCATAGCCTGGAAGTCTTCCAGACTGCAGTCAATACTGTCCAGATAGTCCATCAACTCAACTCTGTAGTGATTTAATTTACAATGAAATATTCATTAAATATGCTTAAGGCAGAAGTGTCTCACCAATCAAAATAAATAAATAATAAAAAATAAACAGAGAAATGTAAAGCTTAAACTTTGTTGAACACATTAATTACTAGTTTAATTCAAATGGAAGCCCATTTACACCACAAGGCAAAAAAAATAAAAAATAATGCCTTGATAAACACCAAGTCATAAATATGAGATACTAAGTATGAGGGGAGGGGGGAATCGAAATATGAGAAAAAGCCATAATTATTAGATAAAAAATAAATAAATTATGAGATGCCATAATTATGAGATAAAGTCGAAATTATGAGAAAAAATAAATTGTGGATTACCGAAACATTTTTTTTTCTTATGTGGCAGAAATTGGCTTCCATAAATATGTTCGCAGAGTTAGAATAATAGTTGTTTACTCAAAACGTACAGCAAGAAACAGCTCATCACGACACATATCAAATCTAAGCAGCCTTATATTGAATATGGGCAACACTGGCCTACTTACTTGCCAAGAAGGTTTATGTTTTGTGAAATGGCTCCATTTTCGCTGAGAATAGAGTCCATCAGCTTCACTGGATCCTCTGAACTTAGACCTGAGGGTTTGTTCAATTGCAGGGTGCTTGATGAAATGTCAGAGGTGCTTTTGGGCACTGCTTCTTGTTGAGTGGTTGAATTTGTTGCACTTCCATTTGTGCTGTCGTTTCTTATAGTCGGGCTGCTTTCATAAGCGACTTCCACAATTTCAGCATCTCTGTAAGAAATCAAGAAAAACAGACCTCACTTTCTAATTTTCTGACACAAAACCTCATGCAAAAGATGTGCGATGTTTGAATCAACCCCTAAATGCTTACACTTGGTCAGCCGGTACCGATACGCCATCTGTAAATTCCGCATCTTCGTCTGTGATGTCACAAATGATGACATCTTCAGAAATGTCAGAGGTGTTTTTCGATCCATTGAGTCCATTCACTGGGGACTAACAGAGACGGAAAGAGATGAGTCTCTGACAAACAGATCTTCAAGTTTCAATATTAATGAGGAATATCATGTTTATATAAATAAATCGGTCCCCCACCAACGTGAATTTAACAGACGGTGATTCACACAATTTAATCCAGTGGCAGAACAATTTCACACAAAGTGAACCCTGCCTCAAATCTCATCAAGAGAAAAAAATGCAAGATAATGAATAGCAACATTACATTTACAAAACAACTGACAACACGTTTCCTGGGAAGGAGAGTCAAAGTGCATGGAACCTAATCACCCTTGGATGGTTCTACACCTACTTTGCTGTGGTCCATAGGTTCCTCGAAGATCTGGTGGATGAATTTTGACTTCTTTCCATTACTGTTCAGAGTAAGCGGTCTGTAATCAGAAAGCAAGTAAGGTGCATATTAATAATAGTAAAAAGTATATCAATATATGTTTTTAATTCATAAAAATAAACCAAAATTATATATTTTTTAAAATCCATTCTCTCTCAAAAATTATTAAAAGAATAATTTATGAATCAGATAAAAAATATTTATATATCTTTGATAAAGATACTTGGTCAAAAATATGACAATATGAATTTTACTTAAACTATCGTTCAAAAGTCTTGGGTCTGTAGGATTTTTTAAATGTTTGTGAAAGACATTTTCTGCTCACAAAAGTTGTTTTTTTTATTATTTAAAATAGAGTAAAAACAGTAATAATGTAAAAAATAATCTATGCAGTGAAGGCAAAGCTGAAATTTCAACAGCTTCAGACCTCAACAATTATTCTAATACTCTGATTTGGTGCTCCAGAAACATTTCTTATCATCATCGATGTTAAAAACTGATGTGCTAATTAAAAACTGTTAATGGGGACATCAGATGCCCACTTTACACAAGTTGGTATGATTCTTTAGGGTCTTCATGAAATGTCTGTAACATACTTTGGTTAAAATTCCTCTGTGGTCGTGTAAAACAACACCCTTTTTACCATGTCAAAAATAGCTGTGTTCACAGCGACCCGTTTCGGTGCATGTCTCTTTAAATGCTAATGAGCTCTGCTCACCCCGCCCCTCTCTTCCGTGGAAGAAGGTGATTTGCAAATAATCATAAAAAATATAAAGTTTGAGACTTACTTCTTCCTGAGGTGCAGCTGGATCATGAACAGTGGGTACTGATCCATGCTTGAGTTTGAACTTTTTAGCAAAACCTGCCTTGAATTGTCCCTCACTCAGAGAGCA